AAATATACATTGTATATAGATTGATTCTTATCCAACTAAATAAATAAATAGAGCATTTAACCTTTTATCTAGTTTAATCAAGGCTAGATTCCAACTAGTTTGACATCATGGCAGATCTTGGTAGTCACACAAATTGCAGGTCAGATTCCAAATACTTTATTTCAATAGCAGCCAACACATTAATGAAAGTACTCATCATGTTACTTTACTTACCGATAGTATATTTAAAATATTCACAAAAAGAAAGTTGAGATTATTTATAAACTGCAAAACAGTATGTCACAAGAAAAAAGAACAAGCCATGCATGGCACAGTTCCTGTTAGTTATCAAATTTAGATATATAGTTTTGTTTATAGTACGGTAATATAGTTTGAGCATAAACATGTCAGAGACATGGATCCAGAAGGTGATGCTAGATTATGATGATTTTTTAACATTAAAATGATTGACATTCAGTCATCTTGTATCTGATCGTCAAACAAGTACTTGTCCATATTGAAAGATATTGCTCTGGAACAACATTAATTAAAAGAAAATTGCCACTGGTCGGCCATTTTGTATATATAGTTAGTTTGTTCACTCAATATATAAACCAAAAAGCGCATCAATGTAGCCACAATGCCTTGTACGTCTCAAAACCAATTAACATCCATGTTTTTCAGTTCATTTTAATTCTAGCAAAACTACTTGTCAGATGCATTCGGATTTGTGGCAAGACTGGAATAAAATTCAACCAACAATCTCTGGTTGATGTCATTGCAATTTATGTGCGATCAGTATTCAAAAACTTGTGACATGTGTTAGACTGAATAGTTGCTATTATTCACATATAACAATATGTCAGTGTCAATGGTCTGAAACATAGTATTGTAACTTCTAGTCGCTCAAAGCACTGCATCATAGAACACAATCTAGTCTTTCAGATTGATCATCATACATTTCCAACAATTAAGTATGGACTGTATCAGTCGTTCAAGACAGTGGTAAATTATCGTTGTGGAGATTGCTGTATTTGGTAACAAATCAAATCGTTGATCCATCATTACTGTGAACTTCATTTCTTATTCCTCACTGTGAGATTTGTACAAGAATTTTATTTTAACCTATACGTTGTTACATGAGTGTTTTCATATTTCATTTTTTTATCATTAAACATTACCACACTATAAATGTTGGTTCATAATTTTGAGGTTTCCAACATACAGCAAACAAAACATTACGTAACACATGCGGATTATGCTAAATAAATACATTTAGTAAATGTTTTTGTTTTGTTTGAATTTAAAGTCAACTTTATTGCATATTTGACCGTTCTAATCTAAAGTTCTAATCTTATTTCACAGATTCCAAGCTGTCAGTTCAAATGTGTCAAATTTTGCCCAAGTGAAAGGCTGCAGGTCTTTTGGGCAAGGGAATGGGCATTGGCTGAGAGAACCCTCACAGATCCAAACTCTACGTCATCTCCCCGGGCAGTACCATCTCCAGTCAATATGTGCTCAAACTGATGCAAAGTTTGAGAAATGGTTTTGTGGGAACATCAGCTCATTCCAGGGGCAGTTACCAGTGCCACCACTTGAAGTGGAAGGTTTACAAGTTGAAGAAGTGGAAACTAATCTATGTACTACAGTGAAATACAAGGTATATTTTCTGTCAATATGTTTCCAATGTGTAATTAGATTGCTGCATTTCATTATTCAAATATATATATACAAGATTTGATATAATGCATTCTGTACATCTGTGTACGTCTCAGACAAGGTTTATCATGCAGTCTATATTTTTGCTTGTGTTCTATGAAAACATTGATCATTTGCATTTTTAAATGTTTCAATTTTATGTTGGTTCAAAATTGTTTTAATGAGATGTACTTTTGCAATTTTGACCAAATAGACACAATTTTCCAGTGAGCTGAGAGCAAAATCAAAATGTTGGAAAAATTATATGCGGAAAAGGAACCAAAATTGACTTGGAAGAGTTTAAAAAGTATTCTCAACCTGTTCAACAGAATACACAAGTTCAGGTTATGCAGCACAGTAAAATGTGTATTCTTCAAAAAGCCAAAAAAGTTAATTTCAGTCCACTTTAATATTAGGATTCATTCATATATTCTTACTAAATCAGTTCTTTACATTTCTAGTTTGAGCTTCCAGCACTTTTTGTTCAGTGGGAGGGAATGTTGGATTTGAATGATGACCACCTGACGATAGTACACGGTATCACATATACGTTTAACACATGGTACAAAGCCAATCCAGGTGGCAGAGTAATCATAATTAATGACAGATGCAACAACAGTAAGTATTTAGTGACTCCCCAGTCTGATAGGACTCCCCTATAACCACACATGGTATGGCCCATTCCACAAATGTTCTAGAAATGCTTTTCTATAGAATCTTTTGGCATAGTCATATTAGGTTCTAGATGGTCACTACTTATTTTGATGCATAGTATTTTCAGTTTGCTATATTATATATAGTATTCTATATTCAAGTAACAGTTTGAAGCATTATGCATGAAAATTGCTAGTGGATCTTAGTTGAATGTATGATAGTATCAGTGCACATTTTTTGCAGAGAGGAATGCTGGTTTTCCATGAACTCCCCACCTCCTGGGTTTTCATGAACTCCCCACCTCCTGGGTTTTCATGAACTCAGCACCCCCTGGGTTTTCATGAACTCCCCACCTCCTGGGTTTTCATGAACTCCCCACCTCCTGGGTTTTCATGAACTCCCACATCTTGCGAGTAATAGAACATTGAACACTGTTCAGCAGAACTGACATAACCATAGAACACTGTTCAGCAGAACTGACATACCCATAAACACTGTTCAGCAGAACTGACATACCCATAAACACTATTCAGTAGAACTGACATACCCATAAACACTGTTCAGCAGAACTGACATACCCATAAACACTGTTTAGCAGAACTGACATACCCATGAACACTGTTCAGCAGAACTGACATACCCATAAACACTATTCAGCAGAACTGACATACCCATAAACACTGTCAGCGGAACTGACATACCCATAAACACTGTTCAGCAGAACTGACATACCCATAAACACTGTTTAGCAGAACTGACATACCCATAAACACTGTTCAACAGAACTGACATAATCATAGAACACTGTTCAGCAAATCTGACATACCCATAGAGAACTGTTCAGCAGGACTGACATAACCATAGAACACTGTTCAGCAGAACTGACATACCCATAAACACTATTCAGTAGAACTGACATACCCATAAACACTGTTCAGCAGAACTGACATACCCATAAACACTGTTCAGCAGAACTGACATACCCATAAACACTGTTTAGCAGAACTGACATACCCATGAACACTGTTCAGCAGAACTGACATACCCATAAACACTATTCAGCAGAACTGACATACCCATAAACACTGTTCAGCGGAACTGACATACCCATAAACACTGTTCAGCGGAACTGACATACCCATAAACACTGTTTAGCAGAACTGACATACCCATAAACACTGTTCAACAGAACTGACATAATCATAGAACACTGTTCAGCAAATCTGACATACCCATAGAGAACACTCTTCAGCAGAACTGACATAACCATAGAACACTGTTCAGCAGAACTGACATAACCATAGAACACTGTTCAACAGGACTGACATACCAATAGAACACTGTTCAGCAGAACTGACATACCAATAAAACACTGTTCAGCAAAACTGACATACCAATAGAACACTGTTCAGCAGAACTGACATACCAATAGAACACTGTTCAGTAGAACTGACATAGCCATAGAACACTGTTCAA